TCAGACCATCAATTATAACACATAATACCGGTAGTCACAAAACCTTAATAAAGCTTTATAAATGCTCTCAAAGTGCAACTTTATGTTTAATACATTTTTTTCTTACTTACTTGGGAAGAAACGCAGCTGATTTAAAAACAGATGCTGATTGTTCACTGGTTGTAGTAGTACTTGTCTCTCCTGGAGTTACCAACAAACCTAAATCTATAAGAATATTATTACTGCTATAATTGGTTCATTAAATAGACGACTTGCACACATCATACAATCTGCTGTCTAGTTAATGGCCAGTCATGCAATAATTAATTATAATACTCCACTAGACTTTTACCTATCATATTCACACCTGTACTGCATGGAAGGAGTAAGCGTGTTATTTGAAATAAAGCTACAATTCTGAAAAATTGCAGTTGTTTTCCCTCTCATATGTTCATATGTGCACGTCATGAACCAACTTTAATCTATGAATGATAAATATATTAGCAGTGGTTTATGTTGATAGATCACTATGTCACTATTACCGGTATATGATGGTCTGAATATACATGCATTGGCTCACCAGTGTGTGGTGTAACTAAAACAAAAAGGGAACCATGGATATCGAAGTTGCTAATATAATAAATAATATTTCTATCTGACTTTCCCAGCTGAGAAGTACAAGTTGACATTCTGAATTACTCACATACTCACTATATTTAGGTTGCCTAATGTCCGTCATCTTCACACAAATTTGTTATTCTAATTTCCTTGATCTAGTCGTGAAATTAAAAGAAGAATCAAACTCTAATAATGCTAAATGTACAGAAGAAAAAATATTCCTATTTGTCGCTTTCACATCATATTTTTGGCAGATTTCAATTTTTAACAAAAAATTAAACCAAAACCACCATTGACAATTTAAAAAAATTTCTGGGGCTTACTAGTACCTGGATGATTATGGTAATAATGCACTAGATGATTGTCTCTAAAATGTTTGGGGAGGGGGATATCATTGTTGTTAATTTTGGTTTGCCAGTAGTTTTCTCGATCAAATTATTAAATTCAGACTACATTTTAGAGATTTCAAAAAGTTGAGAATATCTTTCCTAAGTTATATTCATCAGCCCAAACTAAATCAGTTTTTTTTTTCTGGGGACAAAAAGGGTTTATAGAATCAACGTCAAATAAAAATAATAATACTGATTCCTGAATATGAAACAAAATTGAATGCTCCTTCTCTAATTTGCATAATTTGATAAACATCTCATATCTCAATTTGCAAGTAATATCTCAGTTACTCAAGTAACCAAAATAAAAAAAATGATATATCAAACTAATCGACCCAAGATGTTGAATATAACTAAATAAAAATAAATTGGAGTAGGTCCTATATATTTTTTAGATTTTAATAAAAAATCAGAGGCTTTTTTTCACAGTTCAAATTATCAACATGAACAGTGTAATTTGGAATACAAAATTGTGATCAGAATACAAATTGATTATTTTTTTAAATATGTACATTTTAATGACAAAAATCATGCTTTTTGTCGATAGAAAAACAAAACAGAACAGCTGGTTGCCAGTGAGCCATATCTTTTAATGCGCTATATACAAAGTTAGTTGGTTGATAAAAATTCTTTAACACGCCCATAAAGTTTTATAACATTCTATTTAAAGGTGAAAATATTGGAATGGTCCCTACTTAATTTGCATATTTAGATTGGGAAATCGGCGCAATCATAATATGTTTCACACACAAGTTTGACAATGTTCTTGTATGCTATCGATAAAGAACCATTGCATATTATCTACTATATATCACGGGTGATGGGACCAGAGGGCATCAAACACACACAACCATGTAGGTAAAAAAGGAGCTCTATGACTCAAGTAGCCCTGAGTACAGTCCTGTAGGTTGGCCTCCTTCCGTTGATCATTCGGCCCCCACAGTCCTGAGAAGTCGCATAGACCGGGGATTCGACACCCGCCTACAAATTTATGGCGGAGAACCGTTCTGCAGTTTTCATGATTGTAACCAGCTAAAACATCTATCGACTAATCTA